CACAGGGTGATCTGTGGGACTATAGGCTGTGCGTATCTCTTCTGTCAGCGCTGGCTCCTGGGATACGTCCGGAGGAACAAGCTCACCGCCCAGCTGCTGGCAACGGAGTAGGCATGCTGGAGGGAGGGTTTTTTTACAGCTTAGTGCAGTGGGCTGGTGGGTGTGCTTGGAGACACGTGGATAGCTCTGTGTGCATATGGCCAAAGATCTCCCCTGCCCTCTCTTCATCCTGCCAACCTCCCAACCCGCTCTGCTGCACTGGATGCACAGCCTGGTCCTTATCCCCCGAGAATTAGCACAGCATCTGGCTGCCTCTTGGTCCTATCCAAAGTCCCTTGTGCCCGACGGGCAGTGGAGACCCATCTGCACCCTGGAGTGGTCTCCTTCTGCTTCCAGCTGGACTCCCCACGCTCCCTGCCCCGTGGCGATGGGGGGCTCCCCTCCCTGCTGCAGCTGGAAGAGGAAACTCCCCCTTCCCTGACACCTTTGCTGGCTGCCAGCCCCTGCTGAGGGGAGAAGGGAGCATGAACATCATAGGCATCAACTTTCAGGGACCTCTGAGGTGACAGTCCAGAGCAAGAGCGGTCGGGGAAGGGCAGTGCGATGGGTGTGACTGACCTGCCTCTTTCAGCAAGCCGCTGTACTCTGCCTTGGTGGCCCTCGTGCTGTCCTCCATCACCTTCCCTCCCAGCCTGGGGCAGTTCATGGCTTCCAGGGTAAGTCCTGAGCTACCCCCCCACCTCCGGGCCCTGTGTGTCCTCTGGTCACTGGGGATGGAGCTGCCCACACCCGGGTGTTTCTGTCCACAGCTTGGAGAGGGAATCTGGCCCCTTCCTCACTTGTGGCTTCACTTAGACTTTCTTTCTAAGCTTGGCTACTCTTCCAGCTCCTCTCTGCAAATTGTTCGTCCCACTTCCTAAGTCATCTTTGTCTGCCCTGAGCGCCCTCTGAAGCCAGCGTTGGCCCTGAAGCTGGTATCCCAGGCTTGATATGACTGTAAGCGTTTCGGGCTGGGGCCAATTTTACCCATGAGCAATGCCACGGATGTCCATTGAGTTACCCTTGAAGGCAGCTGGCAGCAGAATCAGGCCGCGTCTCTGAGGACAGCCACGGCGGCCAGGAGGAGGTGGGCCTGTGGGGGATGCATTCATTGTCTCTGCTAGTCAGACCTCCTTCCTTCCTCCCCAGCTCACCATAAAGGAGTACCTCTCCTCCCTCTTTGACAACCAGACCTGGGGTGCCCTTTCCCAGAACGCCTCGCTGGCCAGGCCTCCTCAAGTTGACCCAGAAAACCTCTGGATGGAGTGGTGGGACCCTAACATCACCATCTATGGCAATTTGATGATTTTCATAGTGTTGAAGGTAGGCAGGGTGGGCAGCAATGCAGGGTAGACCTACCAGAGGTAATTTTGGATCAGCTGGGGAGGTCCTGGGAGCAGTGCAGTTGCTAGAGCAGAGCTCACAGAAGACTGCAAAACCCACCCGAGAAGCAGCATCTGTTAGCGTGCGCTGACCAGTGGGCTGGCCTGGTGTGGCTGCCACCTGTGCATGAACCAGCTCATTTAAAGCTGCGAGGGCAATGCAGACTTCCCTGGGGGAAAGCCCTAGTCTGGTTATGGTTAGGGAAAACCCTGTGTCAGTTGAGAGGAAGCCTGGCCAGCAGCTCCTGTGGTGCCCACCTGTATCTCATGCTTGGTCCTGAGACCCAGAAAGGCTTGCAGAGTAATGCATGCACCGAGACCAGCTCAGCACAGCCCTTGCAGCCCAGGCCAGAAGAAGACTTCCTTCCAGGTGCCCCGAGCTGCACATCCTGGGGAAGGGAGGGCCAGGCAGGGGGCATCTGGCAGACCACCTCATGAGGTCTCCTTCACTTTCTCCCTCTTGTCTTTGTTATTCAAGTTCTGGATGATGATCTTGGCCACTACCATGCCAATGCCAGCTGGGTACTTCATGCCGATCTTTGTGTACGGTGAGTCCGTGTCACCCCGGGCGGAGAACCATTTCTGCAGCTGGGACTACCTGGACCATCTTATTGAGCCCATTACCACAGCTGGGCATACGGACGGCCAGCTGGAGCAGCTCGTGCATGTCCTCTGCAGAGAGAGGCTGTTGGGGTCCCTCAGCTCTCCAAGGCTCACTCTGCAGGAAGGTCTTGAGACAGAGAAATCCCAGCAAGGCCCATATGCAGCCCCGTGAGCTTGGGTCCCTGCCCCGGCGGGATGTACAATTGACCATCGCTCTGTGCACTTGAGCTTCTGCCCCACTCGGGACCCACTATAGGCTGGGCATGGTTTGATTTCAGCTCTGACTCTTTGTCCAGGTGCTGCAATTGGGCGTTTGATCGGGGAAGTGGTGGCCTTTCTCTTCCCCCATGGCATCAAATTAGACGGCGCCGCTAACCCCATTGTTCCTGGAGGGTATGCGCTGGCTGGTGAGTCTGCAGCGCGTGAACTCCTGTTCTGAGCCCTTGCTAGGGGGTAAGAGGTAATGAATGAGGCTGCAGACACTACACTTGCAAATGCAGGAGTTCAGGGGCTGGACCTGTAGCTTCTGCAAAGCCCTGGGCCATGGCTACCTTAGATCTGGTTGAGGCAGGAGACCTCACCCATCTGAGAGCTGGGCCATAGCAAGAGGTCATTGCTTGTTTTCTTGTCTTCTTGCCAGGGGCAGCAGCGTTCTCAGGCTCCGTCACTCACACCATTTCCACCGCCTTGCTGGTTTTTGAGGTCACTGGGCAGATTGCCCACATCCTGCCCGTCATCATGGCCGTGCTCATTGCTAACGCTATTGCCCAGAAGTTCCAGCCCTCCTTCTACGACGGCACCATCATAGTGAAGAAGCTGCCCTATTTGCCCCGGATCAGGAGCAGGCACATTGAGTGAGGCCTCCTCTCTCCTTTGGGAAACTAGATTTTGGAGGGGAGCTATGTTGGTCTGGTGGGTGGGTGGCAGGGCAAGCTGGAGCCAAAGGGGATGGGGGTTGGAAACCGAGCCCCGCTGTGGTGCAGCGACCACCTTGTGCTGGGCGTAGGGGCAGGGCGGTGGTACAAGGACCGTCCTTAGCTTGGCTGGACACGGTAAGGACCATCAAGCCTTCACATCAGTCGGGGGGGTCTGCGTCTGGCTCACATCATACCCAGGAGGTGCTGGCAGCCCAAGGGACCTCAGCGCAGGGTTCATGGAGAGAATTGCCCTTTCCCTCTCCGACCCTCGGCCCTTCCTCCTCCAGCTCCTACCGTGTGACCACCGACCAGTTCATGAACACTGATTTTGCCGTCCTGCCCAAGGGGGCCACTTTTGAGGAAATCCTCCAAGTCGTGACTTCTACGGATGACTTGGAGTATCCCATCGTGGAAAGCGCAGGTACCAGAGGGGGGGGCTGTGTCCCCGATGATGTCCCCGGCTGTCCCCGTCCTCCTGGGGCTGTTCATTCTCCTCTCTAACCCCCTCCCCAGGGCTTTCATCCTTTCTTCCTTCCCCTTCCCTTTTTCTTTCCATCTATGATATGAGGAAATGTTGGAAAAGAGGATTATTTCTTCAAATACCCAAAAAGAACTGTTGTAAGAGGAGGGTGACCGTTCTGTGTGTGTGGGGGGGACAGGACAAGAAGTAATGGGCTTAAATTGTAAAAAGGGAGATTGAGGTGGTATAATAGGGGGCTGGACCCAATGATCTGCAAGGTCCCTTCCAGCCCCTAACAACCTATGAATAGGATGAACTTCCTAATTGTGAGGGCGGTGATGCAGCGGAGCAGATTGCCTTGGGAGGCAGTGGTGTCGCTAGCTCTGGCAGGTCCTACAGGCGGGTTAGACAAAGACGAGGTGGTTTAGATGGGGATCATCCTGTCGCAAGCAGGGGGTTGCATGCCACGACCTCTTGAGGATCCTTCCAGCCCTATTTCGTCTATGGTTTCAGCTCCAGATGCAGAAGCTGAGCACTGCTGCTGCCCTACTTCTGCAGGTCTGGGCGACGACTGGGTCAGACCCGCTGCCTGGGTTGGACGCAGCGCTGGGTTGAGACAATTCCCTTGGAAATGGCTGGTGTTTCCCCTTAGCTGTAGGGCCACCGAGGAAAGGAGTTGCTGCTGCTACAGCAGATGATATTCTGAGTTTTGTCTCAGTGAATCAGGAAAGTCGGGAGGAGCGTCTAAGGGTATGTCTGCACTGCACAGTATTGCGGAGAGGTCCCTGAGATAGCTTAAACTAGCTCTGGTGACAATAGCAGGAGCTACTGTGTGCCTAAGGCTCAGCACAGCCTTTGGTGCAGAGTTGCCTCCCCGGAGGACACACGCTCCTTGCCCGCCTGGGTGGAAGAAGTGTGCCTTCAGCTCGGTGCCACGATTAGGCATCAGTCCATTGGTGTAAGGGATCTGAACCACCTGCCCACTGCCTGTGCAGAGTCCTCTCCCAGATTTCCCCTCCTTCATCCCCAGAGTCCTTGTTGCTGGTGGGCACGGTACCAAGATCTGAGCTGGTCAAATTCCTCCAGACCCATGAAGATGCCAAGCTGTCTTCCCAGGAGGCTGGGGAGAAGGACAAGGTAAGCCCAGAGCCCTTGTCTCCCCTGCTCCCAGCTCTGCAGGGGAGAGATCCTTAAGGAAGTGGCTACCATTGCCCCCTAAAGAGGCTGAGCGAGTATCCGGTTGGGATGGGCTGATGGCATGGAGAAGGTGCCGACCTTGGAGAGCAATCACGGTTGATGAGCAAGCATCCAGAGGAGGGGGCTGGGAGGTTTCCTGGCCAGGAAGAGCCTTTGCTGTAGGAGGGGTGCCTGCATGCCCCATGGTAGAGTCCTCATCAAGGCTTCCTGGTTGAGTCTAGCCCCGTCCCATAGCCTGTGCAGGATTGCTCCCTACCTGGCATTGGAGAGGTTGGAAATGCTGCTGCGGGCACTGTGCACAAGCACCCTGCTTGTTGGAGACAGCAGCCCCTCTGCCTCTGTTTCCCTCCCTTACAGGTGCTCTGCAGCGGGACACTAGGAGAAGACTGCACCATCAACCCCATCACGTTCCAGCTGTCTCCTTGCACCTCTCTGCACCAGGTAACCACACCAGAAAGGGGATTTGGGACATGCGGCGCTGGGCCCAGCCAGGGGAGGGGTGGGACTGCCCTGGCTATTACCCTGATCACGGTCTCCAGCTGCAGCCAGAAGCCACCACAGCTGGCAAGCGCCACAGGGTGGAAAAGCTCCACGATATCCACAGGCAGATGCTTGCTTTACTCAAGCCCTGACAACCCACCCGAGGCACCGGGATGTTGGTGAAGCCAGGTCCCTGTGTGCGCTCTCCCTGGAGGTGCTTAGTGCTAACGTGTTCACCGAGCAGTTCCTAGCAGCTGTCTCCCCAGGTCAACGCGGCGTGCACTCAGGGCTGTTTCACTCGCAGACGGCTGTGCATGCAGCCCAGACTCACGGTGGGGCAGAGCAGGATAAAACACGTAGGGAGACCCGCTCAGGGGAGCAGCCAGCTCCCCTGCCCATGCCCATCTCCACATCCTGTTCTCACGGTGCTGTGAGATGTGCTGATGGGGGACACTGGGTACCAGCCGGAGTTATTCTGGCTTGTTTCTTCCCCTGGGTGCTCGCATGCAGGGAGGCCGGCATCTAGTGTCGGGTGGTGGGTACTGCAGAGTTGCCTTCTCTGCCGGAAATTTCGGCAGGGCAGGGCAGGAGCCTTTATCCCTCCTTGTCCGGTGAAGTTGCCCAAATCTGTTCCAAACAGATGCCCTGGGCTACCAAATCGAAGTCACCCCATTGCACAGGGGGAGAGATGCCACAGGGTGGGGAGGGAGGAGAGAGACCGCCCTGTGGGAGGATGGCTGGAGAGGGTGCAGATGATTTGGGCTCCCTCTGTGTAGAAACGCCCTCCGGACCCCAAGGGCACAGACACACAGGCCTCTCCTCCTGCCTTGCTGAGAGAATGACACCCCTTCCACTGAGGAGGTCAAAGCCTTTTTTGCAAGAGGGAAGGAAGCCCACCTTGCAAAAGTAAGAGCTTGGGACTTTGGAGTCCAGTTGCCAGCAGCTGCCTCCTGCAACCCCGTTCATGGGTCATGGCTTCCTCCCCCCTGCAACCTCCCCCCTTCTTCCAGACCCACCACCTGTTCGAGCTGCTGAATCTGCAGCGTGTCTTCGTCACCTCCCTAGGGAGAGTCGTCGGGGCTGTCTCAAGGAGCGAGGTATGGGCTCTGGCCAGAGGGGAATCAGGACAGCTGGGGCTGGGGTGGTGTCCGGGGAGAAGGGGGATGTGCAGAGGCCCCAGGCCTCATCCTGTCTTGGGCAAGGAGAGGGTGTGGGGAAAGTGGCTGAATGACTCTCCCTTCGGCAAATGGGGGCGGGGGTGTCATTCATTCCCCAGCTCAGATGGGGAGATGAGAACAGACCGCATGCCTGCCAGGAGCCTCACACACCGGCTGATTTCTCCTGCAGGTGAAGAAGGCGATAGAAGATCTGGCAAATCCGAAGACAGGCAAGTGAGAGACTCTGAGCCTTGGACAACAGCCCGCTCCCTGTGCCCTGCCTCACCCCCATCCCTGCAGCAACGATCAGGGCCAGGGAGAGACACAGATCCAGTGCTGGAAGGAGACCACATAGCTTGCTCCCCCAAAACCATTTCTTGTACATTAAAGTGTTCCTCAAAGCTTGCCTTTCCTTCCTGCCTTTCCTTTCCATGTGTGTGATAGCAGATGTGCCTGTAGCTCTTTGCCCCTGAGAGCCCAGCCCTCACCCGTGATAGCAATAGTGCACTACGTCGGGATGAGCAGTCAATGCAGAGGGCAAGTCCAGGCTGCCATGGCTGTAGCAGGGGGACACGTGCTTGGGACACATGGGCTTGGGGCTGCTGTCACCCTCTAGGCCCACTAAAAGTAAGAGCCCACCACTTAATCCCTGGAGTGCTTTTTCCTTGTTCGTTTGGTACAGAAAGTCCCGGGTCCAGATATCACCGGTTTCTAGAACAGAGGGCGACATCCTTTAGGAGCAATGGGCAACCCCAGTCACTGCTCTGACTTGGCTGCCGCGGCTGCCCCCGCCACCCAGCTCCCACAGTTCCCAGCGTGTGTGTGTCCATAGGCATCTCCTTCTCCCATAGCATCCCTGGGCTAAAGCTGCTGTCCCCCATTGATCCTGTAGCACTGCCCGAGCCCAAATGGAGCGATATGCAGGCCTGAGGAGCAAGAGGACTTCCCGCCAGCCCCCGGAGGAAACGCTGCAGCTGGGGGGTTATGTCCATAGCAATGCGGCTGCCTCCGCTGAAGCCCATTGTTTCCAGTCCCAGGGTGCATTGGATCAGAGACAAAGCCAGGCACATGCAGATTTCATCGATCACTTTAATTTCTCCAAGGATACAGAACATAGGGAGGAAAAGACGTCACAGCCACTGCAGCAACCCCGCCCCCCACCTGTCCCCGGGGCCCGCTCCCTTCGCCGCTGCAGGGAGCGTTGCTAAGGCGCACAAGATCTGTCTCCAGGCAGCACGAGGGAAACCAGCTGGGAGGTTACACAGCTCACTGGGAAAGGAGACGTGTCGGCTGCGTTGGACTGTACAGTGTCCGGCCAAGGAGGGGGGCGTTCGGGCGATGCCCTGGGGCAGCAGAGGATGTGTGGCCATAAGTTATACTCAGCTGCAGGAAGAACAGCTCTGCAAGTAGCTTTCTTTAAAGTCCCAGATTTAAGGTGTCCACTTCAGTGGCAGGGAGCCTGCAAGAGATGCCGCCCTCCACCCGGGTCCTATTGCAGGTGTCAGCATCAAGCTGCCTCCTTCACATTAACTGATAATATTCAGCTGTTCCCCAACTCCCTAAGGTAGTCTGGGGTTCCCATCTAACCCATTTCCTCTCTCCTCCACAAAGAGAGCAGGGTAGGGCCCTAGTGTGGGACAGTAGGGTCCATGCACAGGACAAGACACCTAGGCAGATGTGCACAGTGATAGTGCACAGAGCCCGATGTGCACAGTGATGGTGGTAGATCACCACGCTGCGGGGCACAGACCGGGCACAAACATATTGTGACCATATCCTCAAATGGGGATGCTATAGCCTGGTGAGGAGGGCAGGGCCATTCCTGCAGACCCTCCCCAAGCAGCTCCAAGCTCCTGGATGCCATCGCTGGCACATGCTTGGCATTCGAACACCACTGAGAGGCAGGAACCAGTGTAACCAGCTTGCTTGCATTAGCCTTTAGGCTGGGCTTTGCAAAGAAGCCCCAGGAAGGTCGAAGCCTGGCTGCCACTGGAGTGAAATGGGACACGGGGGTCTAACAGCCTTTGAACCTCAGGCTGATTCCCTCCTACTAGCCAGCTCATGCTTGCACCTTGCCCAAGCCACCAGTGCCAAGGGTTAGATGGAGCCGAATGCCTGTCTGCAACAGGGCAGGCTGAGGAGCCTGGGGATGGGCCTATATTTAAACCTGCCAGGTGCTTGTCTGAGCTCCACAGAGACAAGAAACCAAAGCATTGGTGCATAAGCCACACACACACGCTGGAAGCTCCTAGGACAAACGGCTGCAGCTGCAGAGCAGGTATCAAATGCACAGGGAAGAGGATGCCTTCTGGGCGCTTCCCAGCCCTCGAGGGAGCCCGGCTGTGCCTGCCATCCCCCTTGTTCTCGCATCAGTGCCACTCAATGCAGACCAGTGGCCTCGGAAACAAATCAGAGCCTCAGCTGTGGTGCGCGTGGCATCAGTCCAGTCGTGGCCTGCTCTGGAGGGCTAGACGAGACGCAGTGAGACAGTCCCCTCCTTGCCATCCTCTGTCTAGACAGTCGCAGCGGGCACTGCTGCAGGGGCCTTCTCCCCGCATGCCACGGTGAACCCAGAGACAGCTGCTTCTGCAAGTGTCCAGGAAGCCGGGGCTGGACGAGCGCGAGTGATCTGAGCAGAAGATCTCCCTGCTGCCCCGGCCCTGTCTGCTCGCTCCTGCGCTGGGGAGAGCGGGGAGGGAGCATCTAGTTATAAAACACGTCATCCTCCGAGAGGGAGCTGCTGTCCACGTAGCGGAGGGAGCTGGTGAGGCGCTGCTGGAGGGTGCTGCTCGCGCTCTCCTGCTCTCCGGCTGAGCTGGCCGGCTCCTTCTGCACGCTTCCTAGCCGGGAGCTCCTGGCGTGGGGGGAGCCACAGGGCAGAGTCCCCAGGGAGGCGACACTTGAGTTCCACTCGTCTGCCGTGGGGTGTCCCCAGGGCGGCGGGGACGTGCACGCGGAGGGGCAGAAAGCTGGCAGGATGCCTTCCAGCTGCGGGCTGCTGATCGCCTGGGGACTGGGCAGTATCTTTTCCTGTCGGTAGATGCCCTCCAGGTCTGCAAGCAAAGGTATTTTGAGATGGGGGGAGGTTGTTAGAGACTCAGCAGGATAAAGCAAACCAGGAGACTCTCAACTTACAGGGCCCTGAGACAGATGCACCCCAAGGCCAGCAACTGTTTTGACAGCTACTGATTCTGGGTGCCCATCTCGAGACCCCAATTCTCAGAGGTGCTGCCCACCCCAGCGCCCTCCCGATGCAGCTCAGGGTGTTTGGTACATCTGAGCCCTGATCCTGCTCCAATGCTGCCACTGTCATTGGCTTTGTGGAAGAAACCCCAGGGAGGCAGAGCTGGCTAGTCAAAGAGGAGTCTGTGACAGCCTCTTGGAAGATGATACACAGGGCCACGGCCAGATGGTGTCTGGTGCAAGACACCAGTGCGCGGGGCATCGAGATCCCAGCCAGAATCTGTTGCACACCAGTCCCACAACACACAAAGTGTGGCAGCTGGGCCTATTTCTGCTGCTCCCAGAGCGAGGGGAGCTGCCAAGGGACTGCAGCCCTTCGAAAGGGCTCTGGATTTGCATGCTTTGCAATCAGTGCCGGAAGGGACCCGATCGGGATTTGCAGGGGAGATGACTTCTGAACGGGGGCACCAGCAGCATTGCAGCCTGATCACAACAGAGCAGGGAGGAGGTACCTGGAAGCTGTATGACATCCTGGGAGCTGCCTCCATAGTTGATTTCGTCATCATCTAGCGAGGACCAAGCGCTCAGGGTGGCTTCGGTGATGGCAAATTGCTCCGCTACACCTGGACGGGACCACAGGAAACCCAATGCGGGTGAAGAGGGGATGGGAGGGAAGCCAGGCCAGGTTCTCACTGTGGTTGTCCCAGGGAACCATCCCACTGGAATCAGTCTCTGCCTGGATCAATTGTAGAGTAACCAAGAGGAGCATGTGGCTTTTCCCTGGTAAACCCACAGGGTCCATCAGTGCTACCAGGCTGGCTCAAACCATGCTCCATCCACCTCATGTCCTGTCTCCAGCAGTGAGCAACATCACCAGCTGCAGAGGACACTCCAGGAAACCCTGGGATGGGATCACCTGTTCCTATCCTAGTGCAGGGGGTCTCTGTGGCTAGACAAGGAGGTCAAGCTTTTAGGTCCTGGCAGCCCTAGGCAGCCCATTGGGCTAGCCTGGTTAATGCATACCGGTTTTGGTAGTCATAGTCAATGGCACACGACATAGCAGCGTGGCCAGCATCGACTCTGCCCGCTGTTCACTCCCCACCCTGCTTGAGTACATACCCAGGTACCCCTGGTCAAATTAGGGAACTCTTCAGGACAAGCCCTGGATCTGCGGGGAGACACAGTCATTGCCGGGCTTGTCGCTTTCCTGGCAGCTACCTGCTGGGGCGGTCTGCAGCTGCCTTGCCCGCGACTCCCCATCTACCTGCTGCAAATCGCGCCTCCTTCAGCTCATCGGTGAGGTAGGAATACTGGTCTTCATCCGGCAGCGATGGCTCCCAGCCCGACTGGGGGGCACTCCAGCCTTTCCACTCGATGAGGTGAGCCACCCGGCCACGGGCCATGGCTGTGGGCTTGGTGATGTGATCCTTGATGGTTTGGACCAACCCTAGAGCAGAGACACGGGGTGAGCTCGATGGGAGCAGGCAAGGTTGGGAGCTCCTGGACCGATTGCACTAACACTGGGCATGGGAGGAACCATCTGTATGACAGCCTGGCTTCCTTTCTGGATGGCTTAATGTCTCCCCGCAGCAGCACCCCGTCCCTCCAGCCCCACGCGACCTCTTCTTGCCACTCTTCCGGTACGGATGATGCTTTTAGGCATTTTTCCCGGAGCATCCCAGCTTTGCTTTGGCACGTCTCATTGAACAGAGAGTTACTGGACGCTTGGCTGGCAAACACTGCCTCTCACGGAGGGTGCATTTCTATGGCACTCACATGCAAGCCTTAGCTGCCCTCAATAAAGCCCAGCAAACAGCGACATTCGAGTGGCGCTAGCCACGGTCGTTCCAAGCAGAGAGATGCTATGTTGCACCATAGAAAATGTCCTTTTCTTTTTAGGAGTGAATTAAGCACCGGTGGGAGGGGCTGGAGTGACGGCCATGGGAAGGAAACTCCTCAAGATGCTCTGATGAGAGCATAAGGAGCCCCAGATCCGGCACAGCATTGCAACGACAGCACTGGACACTTCACCCATGTCCTGGAGACAAGAGGGTTCAGGCTCCAGAGCTCTCCCATCCCATGGCCTTGCTTTTCTACTGAGGTTGCTACCAAGAGGATCAGATACTGCCATGGAGAGGGTGATCCTTTTGGCACCGGGGACAGCAGTCCATCAGGAATGACACTGAGGCCTAGCAAACTCATTATGCCTGGGCCAGCCCCTAAACCAGCAGCTGCAAAGTCACCACACTCAACAAGTAGGGGTCCAGTCCCCACAGACATCTAATAGGACCGGCCAGACCCAGATCAGAATTGGAGTAGGTGACTGCTTTCGGTACCTTGCTGTCCTCGGCGATTTGGGCTGGATCCGGGGTGAAAACCCCTAGAGCTTTGGGAGGCAGGTCACCAAGGGGCTGCCCCAAAAGCCCATTGAAGCCGGTGAGGTGCCGGCTAAGGATCAGGCCTTGTGCTGGTGCAAGTGGCAACCGCCTGTTTTAGAGCTGGCTTCATCGCACATGCTGCATACATGCCAGCCCCAGCTCTCCGAACAGAAGGCCGAACGACCTGGGAGCATCCTTAGGGAACGAAGAAGTTCATTTTTAGGTCTGCTTTCCCTGCTGTGGGTCTGATTCTGGAAAAGGCAGTCAAGGCCCCATCAGGGAGGGGTCTGACGAGGCTCTAAGGGATTTGGCTATGCTGGGTATAAAGCACCGACTCTACCTCTGGGAAGGGGCTCTAAAAAGTTGTGCGCGCATCTCTCACTGGGTGCATCGATACGTGCATTAACGTGCTTTAGATAATTAAATCCATTGTGAGGTACTAGGCAAATGTGCATTAACTAAAGAGCGTGGTTTTAAAGTGCTGCTTAATGTGCATTAGTTTATTTTAATGCACATTAATTAAAAAGCATGTTTTTTTAGTGACACTTTAATGTGCATTAAAATAGGCAAATGAGCCTTAAAGTGCATGTGTAGACACACCCTGTCTCTCTCTCTGGGTCCCCCACACCCTCCACTTCTAGCTCCTGACTCAAGTTGGACACGCTGCATGGCCATAGCTGCTAAATCCTTCTGTCTGGATGCAACACCTCAGATATGTCTCCCTTCCCAGAGCGGTCACCGGATTCATTGCTCCGGCAATAAGGATAAGAGCCAGGGATGGGGATGGAGAATTGCCCGGGGAGGCAGTACTGGGCTGTGAATCTCGGAGTGGCCATCTTGCACTGGACTCTGTGTTCGTTGGGGAAAAACTGAACATTTGGGGCTTTTGCAGGGTTTGTGGCATTTCCACCAAATCACCCCAAAACCTTCCTGCTCCTCTGCCCAGTTTGCCCCAGCTGCTTCCTCCCCAGCGGCCATCAAAGCCGAGCATTTGTCACTCAGCCGTGGGCACCGTGAGCTTTGCGGAGGAAAGGGAGTCTGGCCAGACAGCTTAGTGACTGCTGTCTCCATGGAAACAAACACTTTATTAATCTCCACATTGCTCAATTAATTATGCCGGTGGACAGCACTGCTCTGGGAAGCTCCTGGAGCAGAAAAATTCCCCTGGCTTCACCGGGCATGCGAGAGCCCAGATTTGGGACAGGCTCCCATGCCTTGCTTCTGTTTGGGCTGGACCCGTGCAGGGAGGGAGGCAGGGAGCCCCAGCCATAATTATGGGGGGGATTTAGAGGCATGCCCGAATGGCAGCCCCCTTGGAGCCGATGCAATGGGCTGCTGGAGGGGAGCCTGCCGTGGGGCACCAGCAGCTCGCATCAACCTCCGCAGTGCTCAGCACCCACACCCCAGGACACCAAAACTCCTCGTTGTGCCTCTGGCCCTAACCCTAACCCTGGGCTAGGCAATGGCATTCACCCCAGCCCCAACCTTAGGCCGAAGCAGTGACCGAACTAAGGCCCTTTAGCACATTAAAGTCAAGACTCGGGTGTATCTCAGGTGTGTTAGCCCATATCCGAGCCTTTGGGAGAACTGCAGGGCTTGTGTGGCCAGCGGTTGGGCACAATAATGATCCTTTTTCTCTTCCCTAAAGCCAAGTCCTGGCTCTTATCAGCCCTGTGAGCTCTCCCAGGCCTGTTCCTCTGAGATATCAAGGGTCCTTGCAAATTGGCTTTGGAGGGAGTCAGGCTGGATGACACCCAGGTCTGAACAGGGCAGAGAGAGAGAACCGGGACAGCACAGGACTTGAAACCATTCCCGGGGGCTGTTTAAATGGGGAACGATGAGAGTCCTGCCACGAGTCCTCGAGATAGTTTTCTCAAATGCTCAGAGCCCCGAGTTTCCCCGCTTTTGGAGCGAGACCTGGCAAGGGAGGACTCGAGTATCTCCAGCTGGGGCTCCACTGATAGAAAGACGAAGAAGATGGGAAGAAGGGAGGGCTGGTCTTTACCTACCCACCAGAGAGGAGGTCGCCAGGGCTGTGACGTTGTAAGTGCCGGAGCCCGACTTGGAGCTGGAGAGAATCCCATGGGAGGTCTTGAAACATTTCTGCAGAGACAGGAGATGGTAAAGGTGGCAGGGGGGGCTCTGAGCAGCCTTGGCCAGATCCATGCAGAGGGACGGGAATGACGGACGAATCCTGTAGACCTCTGAGCTAAAGGAGCCCCAGACGGCTCAGCAGCCCCAAGCGCTGATGGTACCTGGGGGCGACTTCTTCCCACCGAAGCTCAGTACGAGCTGCCCCTCTTACAGTAGCACCCCCTGCCCCTAAAGCTTGTCTGGACATGGGAAACCAAGTGAGGCAAAGAGCAGCCAGCTTGCGCTCACCTGCAGCGGGTCCCAGCAGAAATCCATCTGGTTTTCCTGAAACAGAGCAGAGGAGAACGCCTAAAATAATGGCCAGTCCCAGAGCTACCCCATCTGCAGGTCCCCCTTCCTCCATGATCCCCTGCATGGCTTTTATGGGACGGAGATGGCCGTAGCACTCCGGGGAGGGTGGGTTTCGTCACTTCTGGGGGTAGCACTTAGCACAAGGAAGCGCCGAATAAGACTCCTGGGCACGGCAGATGTCTTCCTCCACCAGGAGCTCCAGAGCGAGGAAAGATAACATTTTACATTGCGTGTCCGCTATCCAGGCACTCACCTTCACTTTTCCTGCCCCCCTTGCACCCAATGCCACGATCCTCTGGCTAGCAGGGGGAAGCAGGTACCTGCTGGCACAGGGCAGGCTGCCTCAGTCAGCGGGCAGGGACCCCCGTGCCATTTCTACCAACACTGCTGCTGTGGGGTTATGGGGTGTGGGCTGCAGGACAACCCTGTGCTCACCACGGGGCCCATCCATGGCCCCCATCACAGACACAGTGCCCCTATTATAGAAGGCAGAACTGGAGAGCTCTGAGGCTGGGTGACTTGCCCAAGGTCACACAACACCTCTGTGGCAGAGTAGCATCTTGGGCCTGGCTCTCCCAGATGACAAGCTAGTGCTCTAACTGCTGGACCATCCTTCCTCCCTGGCTCTGCTCACATGTGCACTGATGGGGCTCTGGGATTGGGGTGCACGATTAGCTTACGCACCCCAACGATAACCTTGCAGGTCTCCCCAAAGGTTGCTCCGGCTGGACTCAGCACCTGATGCTCTCCTTCCTGCTTATCCTGTTTTATTTATTCATTCCTTCCCATTCCCCTGCTCCTGGCCTTGCTCCAGCCCCGTGCGTCACTGCTTTCGCCTTGTTTACCTCCCAGGCGCTTTCTCCCTCCAGCTGACAGCACATCTTGCTCATTGCCCGGCTCTGTCTGGAGAGAGCCAGCAATCAGAGCAGGCTGAAGGTGGCCGTGCACATCAGATTGAATCTGTCAGGGGGAACAGCACGAGGGATGCCCAGATGTGGGCAGGGGCAGGGGCAGGGCTGGAAAGTCAAAAATTTCTGCCTTTAAGGTAATGCTTGCTCAGCAAAGCGATGCTGTCAGTGGCGGGCTTATTACTGGGGTGCACTCAGCCTGCTTCCATCAGTCACGCTCTCCAAGCTGGACGGGGGGCTGTGGGTTATATTGCTGCTGGGCCACGAGAGCTGTGGGTTTGATTCCCTGCTCTGCCTCTTGCCTTGGGCAAGTGGCCTCAGTGCAGCCTCTGCGAGGTATATACTACTAGGTACGTAACTCTCGCTGCAGTTATCTCCCTGAGTCCTAAATCCTCTTGCCCACACAGAATATGAGTAATGCCTGTATTAGGGGGCTGGAGGGTACAATCCTTTCATGCTCATTCGATGTGGTGAAAGCGTCAGATGGTACCTACCCTGGGTAGGCTACCAAAGGTCTGACTAGGAGGGAGACAGCTTGTTATTAACAGGGCTCCTCTGACAAACAGGAAGAAGCCCAGCTTTCTGTGGGTGTCTCCATCGTGCAGTACGTTGCAGCGTGGACCTAGCTAACTGGGGTACCACTCGCCGACTAACAGCGTCAGCGTGCAGCTCCTGGGAGCTCAGTGCCGATACATTTAGCTTGCTTCTTGGCAGCCGAAATAAATTAGATCCCAGTGAGCTTTGGGCTGCTGTGGCCAGAGTGGTATAGACACGTGCAGAACGAAAGACCACGAAAAGAGCCGTCTGGCCTAGTGGAGAGAGCATAGGTAGGTGGTGGGCACAGAATACCTCTTTTCCAATAGGCTGCGGCACCAGTTCCCAATCTCTTCTGGGTCCACAGTCTAGATCCAAACCAGTTATCATTTCCTTTGGAAGATGCAAGAGGCGTTCTTGTGGTGCTGGGGGAGAAGGGGCTGGTACGGGAGGGGGTGGCTGGCTGGGGGGATCCCAGGCTGGCACACGCACAGGTTACGTGCCGTCCTGGCTGCTCCAGGCAGCGTGCGTGATCTTTGTCCTCGGTAGCCGGCTCTTTCGTTACCTTGCTGACGGTCTTCGCCGCGGCAGCCGGCGGCCCTTGCTGGCTCTCATGGGGGGCAGTGGGCAAGCGCTCTGGCTGGCTGGGTTTGCTGGCGGCAGGATATTCCTTGTGAGCACTTGTGAGGAAGTCTGCAAGGGAAGAAGGCGAGAGAGGGAGAGGTGGGCTACCCTGGTATCTGCTCTTTCCTTCCCGCTGAAAGGGGAGTTGTGGCATTGCCCAACCCCAAACCATTTTGACCGAC